CACTGCTCCCCTGTCCCGTCCAGCCGCCCCCCCACCCCCCCAGTGCTGTGGTCGCAGTTGAATCTGGGACCAGAACAAGGTTTCTGGCTTCACACTGCCTCCTGCTCCCTGTCACACCTTTCTCCAGAGACAATAAGGAAATGAAAGGGGAGAAATTCCGCCTCCAGTGGGGGTGCAGGTTGTCCCCGGAGGGCTTCCCCCCAATCAGCCCGCCCTCATGGAGATCCGGTTCAGACCCGGACACCAGGGGTTCATCCCAGCCCGGGGCAGGGCGTGGGAAAGCCTAGGGTGGATTAGGGCAGCTGGAGAGCTTGAGGTCAGACCTCAGGGAGAACTTCCTGGTGGGTGGGGAGCCAGAAAAGGAGGGCCAGGGTCCCAGTCTTCCACTCAGATACAAGAGAGCCTGCCTGTGTTGGAAAAGTTGGGTGCAGAGAGATTTAGAATTCTTGGTGGATCCCCCTGAATCCATCACTTTCTGCCCTCTTTTCTTTCTTATTCTGGGGAGGGGGCAGAAGCAGCGCACTTCTGGAGAACAGGAGCTGTGCCCCCCCCCCCGCTGCCAAGTGAGACTTCTGGGAAGCCAGAGATGCTGAGGGAAGGGGGACGGACGGGAATGATGGTGAAGGAGAAAGCAGAGAGTGGGCGAGGGAGGGCAGGGGTTACAGAGAGAGACGGAGAAACAGACTGAGCCAAGGAGGGGCAAAGAGATGAGGGGTGGAGAGAGAGAAGGGCTGAGTTGGAGGGGAAAGAGAGACAGGGCAGAGGAGAGGACTGGGGTCAGGGAGAGGGAGCGAGAGTGAGGGGAGTAGACGGGGTGGGGGAACCTGGGGGAAGAGAGGGGGAGATGGAGGAGAGGAGGATATAGGGGTACTGAGGCAGGGAAGGAGGTGGACAGACACACAGAGACAGAAATAGTCAGCAGAGAGACGCAAAGAGACAGGAGAGAAAAGAAACACCTAGAGAGACGTGTACAGGAGCAAAGGGAGGATCTCCACTCGACCTCAGACCTGGGTTGGCTGCCACCTGTTCCCAGCTCCCTAAACAACCCTGGATGGACCTTGGTACCTACAGACGCTTACGGTGGCAGGGGCCTAGCCTGTTTCCGCTATCCCAGCTGAGGTGGCTCTGGCCAGAGCTGTATATAGCAGCACTCAGCCATGAGACCCTGGCGAGGGGAGAGGACAGGGCAGGTGGGACAGATGCTGGACGGGCGAGCAGATTGAGACATACAGAAAGAGCGGGCGCCACCCAGCATGCTTTGTGTCTCGTTCCCTGTTGCCCTCCTGCCAGACTGTCCGCTCCGCGAGGGCAGGCATTTCTGTCTGGATCTCTGCTTTCATAGCATGATCTGGAACATAAACCCAGAACCAGACTGTGTGGGTTCAGAAGCCCAGTACTCCTTCCTTGCTGTGTGACCCTGAACAACCTCTCTGGGCCTCATCCTGCTCACAATAGCATCTTCCCCCGTAGTATGATTTGCATGGTTTGCGAGGGCTAAAGCAAACCCTCCTGGTGAGGGCTCTCAACAGTGCCTGGCACAGAGAAAGTGGCCGAAAAGTAAATATTTGTTGAATGGATGAAAAACTATGTCGGGGTGACTTCGAGAGACGGAGCAATACCCGCCATGTTCCTTTGAGCTGAGATGCACTCCCCCCCCCATTTGAACATGTCTGAAAATGGGATGCATTTTATGTCAGCGGTACCTAATCATTTTAACTGATTTTTCCTCCCATTTGTATTGGCATATAAAATAACGCTACAGCTTGCAGGTATGTCTTAGATTTGACAATAAGTAGAAGTACATGAAGGGTATATGTTAGGTTGGAATATGTAGCTTCCGATCACATTTTTAGCTAGAAAAACAGTAGTTTTGGGCCAGCTGGGGGTATAGTGGTTGAGGCAGCTAGATCCCACATAGCCAACCATCTGGTTCAAGTCCCGAACCTGGTGACTTGAAGCTCATGCCAGGCGTGTGTGTGTGTGTGCCCAAAATCCTGAGAGGAGAATGGAGGAAAAGGGATTGTGGCTTGGCCACCCCTCACAGGGAATGATTTCTCTCTTTCTCCAGTAAACACAGGAACTCTATAGCAAATTAAAAGAAAAGCAATCTTATAAACTAAAAGATTGATAGATTAGAATTGATTATTAGAATTTATAATAACTACTAATTGTTATTCAAATTGAGTATTGCTAAGTTATCAGGTAAACCAGCATTTCTCAGTCTTTTTTGTCTTAGCAACTTTTTTATTTAATAATTATTTTATTTAACTTTATTTTTTTCTTTTAATTTGACCAAAGAGGGACAGAGAGAGAAAGAGAGAGAGAGAGAAAGCGAGAAAGCAACCATCAGGTCCAGGACTCAAACCATGGTCAGCCATGTGGAAGTTCAACACCCTTAACCACCATGCTACCTGCCCGCCCCTGGTCTTAGCAACTCTTTACAAAAGTCTTCAAAATGACTGAGGACTCCATTTTCTGTTGATATGGTTATATATATCTATTGATATTTACCATATTTAAAATTAAAACAGAAATTTTAGTAATAGGCATTAATTCATTTAAAAATAGCAGTAATTTATCAGCATAAATAGTGTTATTAAAATAACTATTTCTGGGGCTGGCTGGTGGCATGGTGGTTAAGGGTGTTGGACTCCCCCATGGCTGACTGCAGTTTGAGTCCTGGACCTGGTGGCTTGCTTTCTCACTTTCCTTCTCTCTCTCTCACTCTGTCCCTCTCTAGTGAAATTAAAAGAAATAAAGAAAGTTAAGTAATTTAAATAAATAAATAAGTAAAATAGCTATTTCAAGGGGCCAGCAGATGATGTAGTAGTTATGTCATTGGACTCACACATGGCCAACTGTAGTTCGAGTCCCAGACCCAATGGCTTCAAACTCATGCCCGTCATGTGTATATACATGTCCGAGATCCCAGGAGGAGAACAGAATAGAAGGGACTGCGGCATGACCATCCCTCCTTAGGGTTATTTCTCACTTTTTCTCTCTCTTGGTCTCTCTGGCAAGCACAGACACCCTATAGCAAAAATCTCTCTTTAAAACAAACAAACAAACAAAAACTATTTCAAAAATTGTAGTGAGAAGAGTGTCACTATTATCCACTTTTCCAAATCAAATCTGGTGCAATAGAAAACGGCTGGATTCTCTCCGCTGCTTCTACATTCAGTCAGTTGCACAGCCACCGTCCATGAAGCCTCTGGAAAACTCTACTGTACAATCACAAAAAAGAGACTGATAGGAACCAGCAGTTGGCGTAATGGCTATGTCTCTGGACTCCCACGTAGTCGACCGCGACCCGAGTCCCAGACCCGGCAGCTTAAACTCACGCCGGGCGCGTGTCCATGCGTGCCCAAGATCCTGAGAGGAGAATGGAGGAGAAGGGATTGCGGCGTGGCCATTCCCCTGGGGGGTGATTTCTCGCTTTCTGTCTCTCTGTCTCTCTCTGTCTTTCTAGTGAGCGCACATGTCCTATAGCAAAAACCTCTCCAAAAAAATGAAAAGAAAAGAAAGACTGATAAAGACTAATCATATCTTAGCATTTTTCGAAAATAGTTTTGACCTTGTGGATACCATCTAAGTGTGTCAGAGATTCCTCAGGACGTCCTCAAACACGCTTGACAACCACTTAAAGTGTGACCTTGAGAGCCAGCAAGTGACCAAAGGTTAAGAGAGTGGCTTCCATGTGGCCTACCGCACAGTTCAGATCATGAAGCACACATGGGGCATGTGTGTGTGTGCATATTCCAGGTCTTAAGACAATGGAGAAATGGAGGAGAAGGCTATGGCAGAAGCAAACCCTTTGGGGGGTTGCTCTCTCTCTCTCTCTTTCTCTCTCTCTCTCTCTGTCTCTTGGGTGAATGCACATGTCCTCTGGGGTGGGGGGAAACGTGTGATCTTGAGTGTATAAGGGCATGGGGGCATGGTTGCTTGGAGGGTAGAGAAAACGTGTGCAAGGAGGGGGAAGAGAGAGAGAGGGGTAACAATGGAAGAGACTTAGTGAAGGCGAGACAGACAGATGGACACACCCTGGGTTTTGCACACGCTCCTCTGCTGACCGCCAGAGCAGAGCCTCCCTCTGACCCCTCCTCGTCTCCTCTCCCTACAGGTCTACTCTCCAGTGACCCCGGTGCCTACTATGGCCCCCCTGAACTCCTACATGACCCTGAACCCTCTAAGCTCTCCCTATCCTCCCGGGGCGCTGCCTGCCTCCCCTCTGCCCTCAGGACCCTTGGCACCCCCAGCCCCTGCAGCACCCCTGGGGCCCACCTTCCCAGGCCTGGGTGCCAGTAGTGGTGGAGGCAGCAGCTCCGGGTATGGGGGCCCGGGACCTGGGCTGGTGCATGGGAAGGAGATGCCGAAAGCGTACCGGCGGCCGCTGGCCCACGCCAAGCCCCCGTACTCCTACATCTCACTCATCACCATGGCCATCCAGCAGGCGCCCGGCAAGATGCTGACCCTGAGTGAGATCTATCAGTGGATCATGGACATCTTCCCTTACTACCGGGAGAACCAGCAGCGCTGGCAGAACTCCATCCGCCACTCGCTGTCCTTCAACGACTGCTTCGTCAAGGTGGCGCGCTCTCCAGACAAGCCGGGCAAGGGCTCCTACTGGGCCCTGCACCCCAGCTCAGGTAACATGTTCGAGAATGGCTGCTACCTGCGCCGCCAGAAGCGCTTCAAGCTGGAGGAGAAGGTGAAGAAAGGGAGTGGTGGGACCTCCACTGCCAGGAACAGTACAGGGCCTGCCGCCTCGTCCACCACCCCTGCCGCCTCCGTGACCCCCCAGCCCCAGCCTCCAGCCGCTGAGGCTGAGGCCCAGGGTGGGGAAGACGTAGGGGCTCTGGACTGTGGCTCACCCCCTGCCTCCACACCCTATTTCACTGGCCTGGAGCTCCCAGGGGAGCTGAAGCTGGACGCACCCTACAACTTCAACCACCCTTTCTCCATCAACAACCTGATGTCGGAACAGACACCGGCACCTCCCAAACTGGACGTGGGCTTTGGGGGCTATGGGGAGGGTGGGGAGCCCGGGGTCTACTACCAGGGCTTCTATTCCCGCTCTCTGCTTAATGCATCCTAGCAGGGCGGTGGCAGCATGTGGTGGGGGCGGCTAGAGCTCATACCGTCAGGCCCCCAGGGGGGCCTGCTCCTTCTGGTGACACTGTTTGCCCCATTGTTGGCATCTTGGTGGCCTATTCCTTACTGTGATGATTGCTGTCTCTGTGGACATCGTGTGGGTCCATTGGGTACTGTGATACCTGCCACGTACCTCTTGGTGAGCCCACTGGGTACTGAAGACCACCATGTTGGTGGATGGTATTGGTTGACCCACTGGGTGCCTTAATGGGTGCCATGTAGACCCTTTGGGTGATGTGATGGACATCTTCTTGGTGACCCATTGGGCATGATGGTGACACCTTTTCAGAGACTTCTTCTTTGGCCCATTGGGTGCTGGGATCACTTCTTTTCTGGTGGACTTCTTGGGCCGGTAGGCGCCATATTGGCCACCATCCTGCACAACATCTTCTGGGCTCACTGGGTACCACTATATCGGCAGGGTGACATTGTCAGTGTGCTGCTGTGCACCGGGAGAGCCACCGCAGCCCCGTGTGGGCCGTGTCGGCGCCGTCTCTGGGGTGGGTGAGGTGAGGGTGGAGACGAGAAGACTCCTTGTTTACTCTGCAGCCCATCCCCCACTCTGGTCCAGGGGAGACCAGAAAGGGCTGGTTAGGGTGTGGGGAATTTCTACTGAAGCCTGGTTCTTGCCTGGGACGCGGGATACTGGCTGTTCGACCATTAAAGGCATCGTTCTGCCTCTTGCTCAACGTCTCTTTTCCTTGGGGGGGTGGGCTCTGTGGGGCTCAAACACCTGAATGTCTGTCCCCCTGTCCTCTCTCCTGCCTACCCCCAAGAGTTTGGCTGCCTCTGGGGGAGGGGTTGAGGGAGGCATCGACCTGACCTTTGGCTCTTTGCTGTCCCTGACCCCAAGGACAGTTTGTTCACAGATAGCAGCCCCCGCAACAGTGGGGCCAGGGCAGCAGGGGCAGGTGGCCCTGCAGTGACCAAGGCCACTTCCCCACCCCCGTTCTCCAGACACACACTAGGTTCGAGGCTTAGGGGCTGCTCCGTTTTGGGTTAAGCTGGGGAGGAGGAAAGAGGACAAAGTGTTAACGGGGACCCAGACGGTGGCATTAGGGTTTGTGTGTGCGTGAGGCCATGTGCTGGGTGCACATCCGTGTGTGCGTGTGCACACTCTGTGTGGTATAGACTATGCTGGTGTCTGTTGGGGTTCCCGCGTTTCCCTGCGGGAAATGTGTTGTTTGAATCTCTGGATTGTGTGGGTGTGTGTATCCACTCGGTCACCAGCTGTGTGCTCGCCGTGTCTCGGAATCTCGGGTTCATGCATGTGTTGTTCTGTGTTCTCGGCACACCGACCCCGGGGTTCCTCCATGTCTCTGTATGTCCCTTTTCTGCTTCCCACTGCCTCGCAGAGTGTGTGTGTGTGTGTGTGTGTGTGTGTGTGTGTGTGACAGCACCGTGTCGTGGGCCTGCCGGTCACTGTGTTTAAGTGTCTGTGAGTCAGCATGTTGTATGTTTAAAGAAAGCGCGTGTGGTCGTCTGACTCCCGGGGCTCTGTGCCTGTCACTGTGTGTCGGGGTGTGTGTGCCTGTGTGCAGAGCATGGCTGTGCCTGTCACTGTTGCAGGAAGGTGTGTGGAGAAGGAGCTGGGTCCCCCTTCGGCGGTTGTGGACCCGGCCGCTGTGGGCCTCTGGGTATGAGTTTGGGTATTTCTGTCCCTCCCAGTCTCTCCTGAGACTGAGACTTCAAGTCTGCCTGTCCATCGTTCAGACCTTCCGAGGGCATGACTTTCTCCAAAACATAACTGTGTACATCCCACCCTCCAGTCAGAGGGAAACTGAGGCCCAGGGCGGGAAGGGACTGGGCCAAGGTTAGTCGGAGGGCTGGAGCAGGGTGTGGCCGTCCTGTCTCATGCCCATCTCCCATTTGCCATTTTTTCTTTTTTTTTTTAATGCGCTATATGGCACATGCACTTGCTGGAAAGAGTCAGAAAGAGAGTCAGAGAGAGAGCAAGGGAAAGCGAGAAAGCTTCCCCCCACCCGCCAGAGGGGATGGCCAGGCCACAACCCCTTCTCCATTCTTCTCCTGGGACCTTGGGCATGCATGCACATGCACCTGGCATGTTTTTCAAACTGTCAGCTCCAGGACTCGAACTGCACAGTCAGCCAGGCAGGATCCAGCTGCTCTAACTACCACACCACCTGGCTGGCCCTGCTTTTGCCATCCTCGTCACTGGCTCTCTGTCCCCTCCCTCACTTATTCAGCCAGCCTGCCAGCCATTCAGTCGTTCCAAGACCAAAGGCTGGTCTGTGTTTACCCACGCATACGTGTGATGTCTCTCCTGGCTTCTGTGTGCCCATCGTCCTCCTTGTCTCTGTCTCTCTCTTTTGAGCTTTACCAGAAGACGTGTGCACTCGCCAGAGAAATGGGGGAGGGAGAGAGAGAAAGCACCCCCATGAGGAAGGCTGACAGGGCATGGTCCCACTGCAGTCCCTTCTCCTCTGGTTCTCCTGTGGGGAGTGAGCACACACGTGTTTTTCTTTTCTTTTCTCTTTCTTTTTCTTTTTCTTTTTTTTTTTTTTCTTTTGGAGCTGTTTTTGCTAAAGGGTGCATGCGCTCGCCAGACAGAGAAGGACAGAGAGACAGAAAGTGAGAAATCACCCCCCAGGGGGGATGGACACGCTGCAGTCCCTTCTCCTCCATTCTCCTCTCGGGATCTTGGGCACGCACGCACACACGCCTGGCGTGAGTTTAAGCCACCGGGTCCGGGACTCAAACCACAGTCGACTATATGGGAGTCCAGCGACATAGCCATTATGCTAACTACTGGTCCCCACACATGTGTTTTTCAAGTTGCCAGGTCTGGGATCCAGCCACACAGTCAGCCAGGTGGAATCCAGCCACCTCCACCTCCATGTCTCCGGCTGGCCCATCTTGTCTCTCTCTCTCTCTTTATTTTTAAAATTATTTCCTTTATTTTATTTATCATTATAGTTATTTTCTATTTGACCAGAGCAAGACAGAGAGAGAAAGCGAGAAAGGAAGCCACCAGGTCTGGGACTCAAACCGTGGTCAGCCATGTGGGAGTCCAGTACCCCTAACCACCATGCCACCTGTGGGCCCCAGTCCAGTTTGTCTTTTTTTTTTAAAGAGATTTTTTAAAAAGAATTACTTTATTTATTCATGTATTTATTTATTTATTTTTATTAATTTTTTTGAGAGGTTTTTGTTATAGGGCGCATGCGCTCCACAGACAGACAGAGAGAGACAGAGAGAGAAAACAAGAAATCACCCCTCAGGGGGGATGGCCACGCCGCAATCCCTTCTCCTCCATTCTCCTCTCAGGATCTTGGGCACGCACGCACACACATGCTCCCGGCGTGCGTCTTAACCCACCGGGTACGGGACGCGAACCATGGTCGACTATGTGGGAGTCCAGCGACATAGCCACTACGCTAACTGCTGGTCCCTATTCATGTATTTATTTTAATTTGACCAGAGAGAGACAGAGTGAGAGAGAGCGAGAGAGGGAAAGTGACAAAGCAAGCCGCCAGAGTCAGGACTTGAACCGTGGTCAGCCATGTGGGAGTCCAGCCCCCTTAACCACCACGCCACCTGCCAGCCCCACAGCTTGTCTCTTAATATTCTCTCTTTCTGTGTCAGTCTGTCCCTGACCCCCTCTCTGGGCCTTTGCCTCTGCGCCTAGGTTGGGAGATACTTGCTTGCCCGTGTCTGCCTCATGTGCTGGCCTTGTGTTCTTTCCTCCCATTCTTTCTTGCTGTTGCTTTGCTATTCCTTCCTGTCTCTGTGTCTCTGTGTCTCTGGGTCTCTCTCTCCCTTTCCTAGGGTCTGTCTCCCTGCTCCTTTCTTGGCTCTCTGGTCTCTCTCCTTCTCTGGCTGCCCTCCCTCTCCCGGTTTCCTGAGTTTCCGCCTCTACCTGCCGCCTCTCAGGCCAGGCCCTCTATTTCTGTCCCTGTGCTTGCCTTGCCGGCTGCGTGTCACCCCCGCCCCTGCTGGGCTGGTTCCCCAGCACCGTCCCACCAGCCTTGCTGTCCTGGGCAGGCTGGGGAATTCCTCCTGGTTCCTGGAAAAAACAACTGGGGCCGAGAGAAAGGCCCTCAGTCTCCCTGGGCACCCGTCTCCCCCCCCTCGGGCCTGGGGGTCTCTCCCAGAGCCGGCAGGCCCGAGGCAGGAAGCCCTGCGGTTTCTGGCTTCTCCCAGGCGGCCTCCGGATCTGGCCCCCGCCCCCCGGCCAACAGCCCAAATATTATTCCGCGGGAGGAGTCGGTGGCGGCGGAGGAGGCCCAGGCTGAAAGAGGCTTTCAGGGCGGCCAGGCCTAGGACTTCCTGTCCCCAGGCTCGGGCCTCAGGCCGCCCCAGTAGGGACCTCAGGTGGCCGGAGGGGCGGGGTGTTGTTGTAGGGTCCTGGGGGAGGGTGGGGCCATCCGTAGGGGTGTCTGGTGGCTACAGCTCGGCTGGGGCTCGGCTGGCGTGGGCAGGTGTGACCCCCACCCCAGGGACAGCCCAGGCTGACGTCCAGTGTGGAAAAGTACCAGTCAGACATGGGACGCATGGACAGACATGAAGACGCCAGGGGTCAGGGATAGAGGGGTAGCCATAGGGACACAAGAGGGCCTGGCCTATGGGCCTGAGAGGACATGGTCCACAGGAGGGTCCCATGGGTAGAAAATTGCCCGGGGTAGGGTCCTGGCTTGTGGGCAGAGGCCAACTAAATTAGGGGCATTAGGGGACCACAGTGAGGGTGATAATTAGCTGTGCCTCGCAGCTCTCACTGCATCCCTGAAACAGGCACAGAGGAAAAGTGACTCACCCAGGGTCACAGACAGTAAGTGGGGTGTTGGGATTCGAACCCATGCCGGTTAGCCGAGTCAGCATCCTTAGCCACCATGCTCTTCTGCAGGATGAGAGAGACTGCGGCAGCAGCACAGCTGGGGCCTGGGGGCCCACACCCTCCCCCGCGGTCACCCCCACTTCCCACCACAATGTGTGTCAGGAGGAGAGGGCTCCCCCAGAAGCCAGCAGCCCGTTGTGCAAGCATGCAAGCGCGTGTCCGGGTCCGTGGGTCAGTGTCCCGCTGTGTGCTGCGTGTTAACGCAGAGGTGCCTATTCAGGGTGATGCGCTTGTCCTGGGTCGCTGTGCGTCCTGCCCGTGGGTGTATGTCGCTGTCCTTGTGTTTATGTCCCTGGGTCCTCATGCCTGGCACTATTCTGTCACTGTCCTCTGCGTGTCTGCCGTGTGTATTGACGCCGTGTCTCTGTGCTTAACGACATGCTTGCCTGTCAGTGTGTTCTCTGTGTGTATTGTTGCGTATGTCCATCACTGTTAAATGTCACAGATTTCCTGGTCACCTTGGACCCATCACCGTGGCTGTGCCTATATCTGTCACTGTGTGTCACTGTGGCTGTCCCTGTATGTGTCACCATCCACCCAGGTGTCACCGTGCTGTTACTCACTGCCCAGGCCACAGGTGGGCGTGCCGGGCCCACTGGTGCCAGGACTGGGGCCCAGACTGTCCCACCCTCTCCTACCCCGGGCCAGGCAGGGCGCCTGTTTGCAGTGCCTGCCCCAGGTAAACACTGAGATCCGGACCGAGGCCACCTCCCTCACCTCCACTCCTGCCCCTCAGCCTGCCTGGGCTGGGCCGGACAGAGCCCACGGACGGTGCCCTAGACTGGAGGGGGGCCTGACCTCCCCGTCACCCGTGGGTTCCAGCCTTGGCCTCGGCCCCTCTGCCCGCTCCCTCCCTGCATCACCTCAGAGCTGTCTTCAGCCTCCCTGTTTCTTCCCGCCCTGTCGCCCTGTCGCCTCTCACCTGGATGAGCGTCCTCTGGCTCAGCCCTTCTTCGGAACAAGCTCCGTGCTGTCCCTGTGCTCTGACCTTTGCTGCCTTTCGAGAAGCTCCTTCTCCACATCTTTAGCAGATGTCTCTGCGTCGCCCCTCCCCCGCCCTGCCACGTGCTCTAACTCTGGTCCCTCTCCACCAGCCTCTGTGAGTTTCTCTCCTTGTCACCCTGTCCCTCTTCATCTGAGTCGCTCGGTCTGAGCTGCTATCTCTGTGGGTCTCCCAGCCCTTGACCCCATAGAGGCAGACTCTGCCGTTCCTAGGCCCTTAGGGGAGGGGAGTGCGTGGCCCCCGGCCTCCCAGCCCAGCCCGCTGGTGTATATATATGTATATATATATAAAGGTATATGTACATATTATTTATATCTGCACCCGGGGCAGGCGGGGCAGACACTGGGGCCTTTGTGTAGCCACTGCCCGCTGCCTGCCCGCCTGCCACTCCTCTCGTTCGTCCCTGCTGCCGCCCGCCTCCACTCCCCCGTACAGAAAGGTTCCTGTGGGGCCTGCCAGCTTCCTCTGCCTGAGGTGTGAGTGGGCACACCACGGGTGAGACGGCAGGGAGGCCGGGGGCTTTTTCCAGCTCCAGGGAGCTTTCCGGGTGGGGAGTCTTCTGGAAGGAAAGGGACTTCTCAGCTGGGCTGCCGTGTGTCTGTCTGCATTCGCTGTCCCTGGGTGTCCCTGGGACCTCAGCTGGCCTCTGCTTGGGGGTCTCTGAGCCTGTCATCCATCTCAGTGACATTCTGACTTTCCTGTCAGTCTTGGTCTCATTCAGTCCTGCACACCCTGTCCTTGGGTGCGTGGCCCGACCCCTGTTGAGCGCCGGACACTAAGATAAGTGGCTCAGCTGATTCCGTGCCATTCCTGTCTGATTCACTTCATCCCTTCACCCGCTGCTTGAAACCTTGCACCTGTTCCTTTTTTTTAAAAAAGAAATGTATTTATTTATTATTCCATGAACAAGACCTTAGCAGGGTCTCGATACCACCATCTCCCACTCCCAGCCTCAACCAGCCCCAGATCATGGGTACACGTGTGCCTGGCATGCTTGGGGAGGTCTCCGATCTTGAACCAGGAAACTTCCCATGTGGGCCAGCTTCACAGAGTGTTGTTTTTTACTACCGCACCACCATCCGGCCCCAACATGTTCCTTTAAAAACTAAACTAAACTAAACTAACCAGAGAGTGTATGTACTTGCCAGAGAGGCAGAGAAAGGGAAGAGTGCCCCCCCACGGGCACACTGACATCACACTCTCTTCTCCATTTCCCCATCTGGTCAAAATTTGGGGCATGCAGGCACACGTGCCCGGCATGTTTTTCAATCTGCACAGTTGGCCACATGGGCTTCTCCTAACCAGCAGACCACAGGGCTGGCCTGACCCGCTCCATTTAGACAGAATCCTAAGTGCTTATGGCCTACAGGTCCCCTGGCACCCCCACTATCCCTCTGACTTAATTTCTTTCTTTTTAAAAAATAATTATTTTATTTATTCTTATTTTTTATTTTATCAGAGACAGAAAGAGAGAGAAAATGAGAAAGCAAGCTGCCAGGTCCAGGAGTCGAACTGTAGTTGGCCATGAGGGAGTCCAGCACCTTAACCACCACGCCCCCTGCTGGTCACTGCTTGTGACTCCTCTTTGGCACAGTTGCATTGGGTACCCAGCAATTGCTGGGTCAGATCAAACAGGTTCCCACCTCAGGGCCTTTGCATGTGCTCCTCACTCAGATTCCCACCCCAGCTCACCCCATCCCTTCCTTCAGTTCTTGGCGTCGCGTCCCAGCAAGCCCTTCCCGCCTTCTAGTCTAAAACAGCCTCTATCACTCTCTAGCACCTTCCCTGGCTTGTGTTCCCCGCAGGACTCCCTGCTCCCTGACTGACTTAAGTGCCAGGGCTCCATCTCTCCCCCCTGTTCACTCATGACAAGTTGTGACTGTACACTCTTCCCTGCTGTATTCGAGCACGTACCCCAGTGCTCGTCACGTGGTGGATGCTGCAAACACACTGCGGGAGAGGAGCCCATCAATCTGTCGACTCCCCAACTGTATTGGGTGATGCTGGGGACGGCCCTAGCCCTGGCCCTGCCCCCCGGGGACTCAGTCCACTGGCGAGACAGTGAAGATCCAGAGTGGGTGGGACCGGGATAGGGGACCAGGGGACCTCAGAAATGACACCTGATGCAGGCTGAGGGGAAGGGCTTCCTGGAGGAGGTGACAACTGAGCTGAGATCTGAAGAGTAAGTGGGAGTGAGCCAGGCTCTGTTGAGATCACTGGGGACCAGATAACCAAAACAGACACCCCCCCTCCCAGCCCTGCCTTTCTCCACAGAGCTCTCGTTCTCTCCCTGTCTCAGAATGGGTGTGCTTGAAGATGCCTTAGCTCTAGTTCGAAGCTTGCCTTCCCGATTTGTCTTCATCTGCTCTTCATTCTCCCTCTCCTCCTTCTCCACCCTTCCTGTCTCTGCTGTGCCATCTCTTCTGTGCGTCAGTCTCTCTCCACCTATCCGGAGATTTCCCCCTTTAGTTCCTTTTCCTGAACATCTGTCTCTCCTCTGTTTCTGCCTCATTTCTCTCATCTCAGAGTCTCTCCTTGGGTCTCATGCTCCTTCTCTTTGCATCTCTCTGTCCCCAACTCTTTCTCCTTGTCTTGAAGTCTTTGTGCCTAATAGTGCCCAAATAAATCCAGAGCCCCTCCAGCCCAGCCCCACCCTGGCACTGCGGGAAGGGGGACTGATCCAGCCCCCCACACCCACACAGGTCAGGCCGTCTGCTCTGTTAATGGTTAACCCAACCTCTATCTAAAATACACACCAGCCAGGCTGGGGGTGACTCCCCTGCCCCCCCACCCACCTACCAGCTGCTCTTAAAGGACCAGGTGTCCTCCACAATTCTAGCTCCCACTGCCACATAAGGACCAGGTGTCTGGAGGCCTTGCGCCCCACCCCAAGGATTGGGGGGGTGGGGAGATGCCCAGATCTGCAGAGCTGTGCTAGGGGAGGCCACAGGCTTGCCCTGGAGGGCAGCCCAAGCACGAAGCTCCATCCAGCATCTCTCTCGCCCCAGGCTTATCGCCTAGTGTATTTAATCAGGGGTGGTTTTCCCAGCCCTGCCCAGAGCTCAGGCTGGCAGTGCCAGGGGTGGCAGAACACCTGAGAGCTGATGGCTGGGGCTAGGGGGATGGGACCCTTCAGGCCAAGCACAGAGTCCCCCCAGATGTGGAAGAGGAAGTCTCGGATTCTCTGCAAGTTAGGATGTGGGGGTCTGTGAGTGCGAGTGGGACACCTGGGTAACTGAGATGGGTCAGGAAGTTAAGGTCCTCTGGATTTAGGTAATGAAACACCTGGGTTGCGCCTTGGATCTGAGCTGTCTGGCAGGACAATCATTCCCCATCTCTCCACACATTAGCTGGCCTTTGGGCCTGCCGCATTCCGGGAATCTTACCCCAGGGTCCCAGGGAGGGGGGTGTGCCCATAGGGGTGGAGGCTGGGCTCCTAGGGTTGCCCTTTCCGTTAACCCCTGCTTTGCCAAGTGGGCTCAGACCCCGCCCCATGACGCCAGCAAGCAGGAAGTCCTGGTTAATGATCAGCCACCAGGACAGGTGCGGGACAAGGCCCCACACATCAGAGGCAGCCGCGGGGGGAGTATACCTCTACCCTGATCTTCAGGATGGTTCAGGGTGGCCAGGCGAGGCCTATCTCCCACGACGAATGAGCAGCCCTGTTCAGGCTTCCCAGTCCGGTGTCTGGAACCACAAGTGGCAAGCAGCAGCCACCTTGTTCCTAGGGACCTGTTAGTTCACCCCAGGGAGGTAAACTTCCTCTTTCCTCAGGCAGTCCCTCCAGCAGTCCAGCCTGCATTCCCTCCCTGCCTGGTTAAGAACCTACTGCCCATTCCTTGCAGGATGCCCCACTGCCTCTTCCCCTCGTGGGCTCTCCACACTGGAAACAGGGAGGCCAGCTACAAAGAGTGATCTATTCCCAGGCTTGTCCGTGGTTCCCATTCAAGAGCCAGCCCCTCTTCCTCAACTGTTCTGGGGGAAACCAGCGAAGGCTGAAACTGGGTCCCTCAGACTGTAAAAATCCGCTCGAGAGCACGGGCCTGGGCGAAGGGCGCCACCTGGAGGTCACAACGCAACGTCCTCTCTTGCAGCACCAATTTAGCCCTAAAGGGGGCGCGACAACTCATACAACTCAGGAACCGAGAAGGAAAAAAAAAAAAAAAAACATCTTTCAGTTTATTGAAGGAGGAAAAATGGGGCGGGAAGGGGGGGCAATAAAATGCTTTTGCTTCATTTATAAAGAGCGAGATTTCAGAAGGCCCCTTCTCAAGGAGGAGGGGTTACCTCTCTCCCAACTACAAGCAGCAGCAAAGCCAAGCCAAAGAGGGGAGAGAGAAATTGGAGGGCCCAAGGGACCCCAAACACCCCCTCAGACAGAGCCACAAGCTTTCTCCCCCCACCCACAATGCATCTACCCCGGGGGACCATCTGGGCGGAGGAATGGGGTATCTACACAGGCGGGAGTGGCACCAGGTTGGGGGGGAGGGAATAATTTATCCGCAGAGGCGGTGGGTGGTATGAGGGCTGAGGGCAGTAGCCTGGTGACACTGGTGGCCTAGGGGTCCCGTTCTTTCTTAACTTTGATGTCTCCAGCAAGGATGGTGGCGATTTCACCCTGCATGAAGGCCCAGGGGACAGAGGAGCCCACCAGTGGGCATTTGTCTCCACTCGGGCAGTACACCTCCCCGGCTGGGCCCTGTGCCTTGATGAACTCCCGTGAGCAGGGAAAGCAGAACTTGTGTCCGGGCACCGAGGGGCACTGGACAAAGTGGGTGTCTTCCAGCCGCTCCCGGCACAGGGTACAGCACAGAGGGGCCCCAGGGGTCGCCCCTGTGCCACTACCGCCCCCGCTGACTGCTTCGGCTCCCGCCGTGGGGCTGACTTCCGCATCCCTATTGCGAGCCACTAAGCGATGCTGGGTTGAAGGCTGGGCCGTGGACGAAGCTGCAGGGCTAGCGCCGCCTGCACGCACTGGGCCACCACCCCCGCCAGGGTCCTTGGGTGAGTGGCCCAGGGCCTCAGCTACATTCTTCAAGGCTGCAATGGGTGAGGGCACGCCAGGGGTCTCGGTGGAGAATGGGCCACCAGGTGCCACCCAGTGCCGTTGCTGCTGCTCTTCAGTCGTCATCTTCCCAGCCGCCTCACCTTCTGGCTCAGGGGATGCCTTGCGACGGCGAGGTGTGGGCGCAAGGTTTCGGGATGGGGCCCGAGGGGGTGGGCCACACAGTGCTGCAGGGGCCGACTCCGGGTACTGCTGTGGCAGTGCCTCTGCAGGAGCTGGCTCACGGAAGCTGCGGACCCCGTCAGTAAGCAGCTCACCCAGCTGGCGCCATTCGCCTGAGCCGTGCCGGCGTTCGTACTCGAGGTACTTGAAGCCAGAAGAGGCCAGTGCCTTGCCCGGCTCCCGCAGAGCATCGTGGAACATCTGGCGAGCCACTGCCAGGACCCCGGCATAAACGTTGCCGGAACCACAGGGGTATTCAGTGAAAAGCTTCAGCTCGAACTCGTAGCCCGGAGGGCGGGCTGTAGCATCAAAAGCGAACACTCGCCCCACCAGCCCGTGATCCTTCTTGAAGCGGACATTGAAGGGGGCACAGGCGGACAGTGCCAGTAGCTGTTCCCGCACGGCCTTGGGGCGTCCGTGCCACTCCTCTGCCCGGCCCCTCATGGCCTCGTTCAGTTCTGCGAGACAGTCAGCATTCCTCTGCTGCTTCTCCTTCTCGAAATCGGAGCCGAAGATTGAACGAGCAGGACTCAAGCCGGGTGCCAGTGTCAAGCCCCGGCTTCCCAGGCCAGACACCGCAGCTGCCAGCAGCCCAGGGGGCATCAAGCCAGGCATGGAGCCAAGCAAAGCCCTTCGCGCCCCCTCCGCCACGGCCTCCTCGCGGCCCAGCCCATTGGCCAGGCGGGACCCCAGGGTGTACTCCAGGGCGGGTGAAGGAAGGGGGAGGCGGCCTGAGGATGTGGCCCTGTCATAGCGGTCCTGACCAGAGACGCCACCACTGGTCCCCGAAGGCTGGGGCTGGGCCTGCGGGGGCGGCAGCTGGGGCCCCCGTGGGGTGGCCGCAGCCAGGTCCTTGGTGGCCGGGTGCTTGAGGGCCGGGGGCCCCGGCGAGCGCCCCTCGGGGAGCACGTGGCTGCGCTTGAGCTGGCGGGCGGCGTCAATGAGCAGCTCGATGCGGTCCGCGCCCTCGAAGTTCACGCAGCCGCGGCACACGGCCTCGCTGAAGTCCCACACCATGGCCCATGGCATCTTGGGCAGGTCGCACAGGTAGCACCACTGGCGGCGGGACGCCTGCACTGACGCCATGGCCCCCGAGCGCGCGCGCGGCCGCCGGGACCCCGCGTTGCCCCCGCCGCCGCCGCTCGGTCCG